AGCTGCATTCAGCTGCATTCAGCTGTATTTAGCTGCATTCAGCTGCATTCAGCTGCATTCAGCTGTATTTAGCTGCATCCAGCTGCATTCAGCTGTATTTAGCTGCATTCAGCTGTATTTAGCTGCATTCAGATGCATTCAGCTGTACTTAGCTGCATTCAGCTGCATTCAGCTGCATTCAGCTGCATTCAGCTGTATTCAGCTGCATGAGTCTGCATTTAGTTGCATCCAGCTGCATTCAGCTGCATTTGTCTGCATTTAGTTGCATCCGATTGCATTTAGCTGCATTCAGCTGCATTCAGCTGCATTTAGCTGCATTCAGCTGCATTCAGCTGCATTCATCTGCATTCAGCTGCATTTAGCTGCATTTAGCTGCATCCAGCTGCATTCAGCTGCATTTGTCTGCATTTAGTGACATCCAACTGCATTTAGCTGCATTCAGCTGCTTTTAGCTGCATTAGGCTACATTTGTCTGCATTTACTTGCAGCCAACTGCATTTAGCTGCATTCAGCTGCATTCAGCTGTATTTAGGTGCATTCAGCTGCATTCAGCTGCATTTGTCTGCATTTAGTTGCATCCAACTGCATTTAGCTGCATCCAACTGCATTTAGCTGCATTCACCTGCATTTAGCTGCATTCAGCTGCATTCAGCTGCATTTAGCTGGATTTAGTTGCATTCAGCTGCATTTAGCTGCATTCAGCTGCATTTAGCTGCATTTGTATGCATTTAGCTGCATTTAGTTGCATCCAACTGCATTCAGCTGCTTTCAGGTGCTTTCAGCTGCATTCAGCTGCATTTAGCTGCATTCGTCTGCATTCAGCTGCATTTGTCTGCATTTAGCTGCATTCAGCTGCATTCGTCTGCATTTGTCTGCATTTAGCTGCATTTAGTTGCATCCAACTGCATTTAGTTGCATCCAACTGCATTTAGCTGCATTTATCTGCATTCAGCTGCTTTTAGCTGCATTTGTCTGCATTTAGCTCATTTAGCTGCATCCAACTGCATTTAGCTGCATTTATCTGCATTTAGCTGCATTCAGCTGCATTTAGCTGCATTTAGCTGCATTTAGCTGCACTCATCTGCATTTAGCTGCATTTAGCTGCATTCAGCTGCATTCCGCTTCATTCAGCTGCATTTGTCTGCATTTAGCTGCATTCAGCTGCATTTAGCTGCATTTAGCTGCATTTAGTTGCATCCAACTGCATTTAGCTGCATTTATCTGCATTTAGCTGCATTCAGCTGCATTTAGCTGCTTTCAGCTGCATTCAGCTGCATTTGTCTGCATTTAGCTGCATTCAGCTGCATTTAGCTGCATTCAGCTGCATTCAGCTGCATTCCGCTGCATTCAGCTGCATTTGTCTGCATTTAGCTGCATTCAGCTGCATTTAGCTGCATTTAGCTGCATTTAGCTGCATCCAACTGCATTTAGCTGCATTTAGCTGCATTCAGCGGCATTCAGCTGCATTCAGCTGCATTAAGCTGTATTCAGCTGCATTCAGTTGCATCCAGCTGCATTCAGCTGCATTTGTCTGCATTTAGTTGCATCCAATTGCATTTAGCTGCATTCAGCTGCATTCAGCTGCATTTAGCTGCATTCAGCTGCATTCAGCTGCATTCATCTGCATTCAGCTGCATTCAGCTGCATTCAGCTGCATTCATCTGCATTCAGCTGCATTTAGTTACATCCAACTGCATTTAGCTGCATTCAGCTGCTTTTAGCTGCATTAGGCTACATTTGTCTGCATTTACTTGCAGCCAACTGCATTTAGCTGCATTCAGCTGCATTCAGCTGTATTTAGGTGCATTCAGCTGCATTCAGCTGCATTTGTCTGCATTTAGTTGCATCCAACTGCATTTAGCTGCATCCAACTGCATTTAGCTGCATTCACCTGCATTTAGCTGCATTCAGCTGCATTTAGCTGCATTTAGTTGCATTCAGCTGCATTTAGCTGCATTCAGCTGCATTTAGCTGCATTTGTATGCATTTAGCTGCATTTAGTTGCATCCAACTGCATTCAGCTGCTTTCAGCTGCTTTCAGCTGCATTCAGCTGCATTTAGCTGCATTTAGTTGCATCCAACTGCATTTAGCTGCATTTATCTGCATTTAGCTGCATTCAGTTGCATTTAGCTGCATTTGTCTGCATTTAGCTGCATTTAGCTGCATTCAGCTGCATTCAGCTGCATTTGTCTGCATTTGTCTGCATTTAGCTGCATTTAGCTGCATTCAGCTGCATTCAGCTGCATTCAGCTGCA